TTTTTATGTGACCTCATTTCATGTGAAACCATGGTCATGCCCCTTGTAAGTTGGCAATCTGATGTCCATACCTTATGGGGTTAATAACAACATATAAAAGCACAAAACAGACCTACTTGCTCCTAAACAGAACATAGCAAGAGAACACACGTTTATAGGAGAAAAAAAAAAAAAAACTTCTTCACTGTGAGAGTGGTCCAAGCAAGAGAACCAAGAAAATGGAGTGTCGTCTAGAGGATGGCTTCAAAAAGGATAGGCTCGCCACAGAAATGCAAGGAGAGAGAGAACTCAGAAAGTGCAGTTAGGAGGTCAGTGGCGACACTGAAGAGTAATGTTCCAATGCATGGGTGAATTTTGAAGCCAGAGTTCGGAGACCCAAAAAATGACTAGGTGCTGAATAAACAGAGACTATGGGCAAATATTCATTTTGAATTCTGGTTCTGCCACTTGCATTGTTGTGAATGGTGTAAGAGGCGGGAGCAGTTCTTGTCACAGATGTTTTCAAGATAGAACAGACTTGTGCATGTTTGGAAACTAGAGAAAGAGTCTTATAGGTACGAAAGATAGGTAAGTAGGAAGCTAGGTAGACAGACAGACAGATATATAGATAGACGGATAGATAGGAATATATATATATATAGTTCTCTAATTCCTGGTGTATTTAGTTTTGCAGTCAATTTTCAAGTTTTATTGTTCCCTAAAATCTTGTTCCTGTAGTGAGGTTATACTGCCCCCATGTGGTGTAGGTTGCCCAGCTCTTCATTCTAAATGAGCAGAAGACATACTTGCCATACTTGTCATATGATCTTTGCCACAATTACTCAATTGACCTTGTAGAGTAAAAGCTGCCACAGATTATTCATAAACAAGTAGGTATGGGTGTGTGCCAATAAATCTTATCTTCAACAACAAGCATCGGTCAGATTTAGTCTGTAGCCCTAGTTTCTTAGTCCTTGGTCTAAACCTGTGGCTTAATATTTGGGCTGAATATTAAAGTTATCTGGGCATACAGTTTTCAAAATGTTGGTGCCCAGGCTGCACTATTAAATAGGAAACTTTGGGTGTGGGCTAGGCACTGGTAATTCAATTCTACCAAGGAGTTTATTATGTCACCAAAGTTGAGAACTGATTCAAACCAAAATAAGGTTCTAGTTGTAAGTGTAGCAAATAATAATAATGTATAATAAGTATAATAATAATGTATAATAATAATGTAAATAATAATAATAAGTGTAGCAAATAAAATAACATTTCCTGAGTGTTTATTATGTACCAGGTGCTGATCTAAGAACTTTCCATATATTATCTCATTTAATTCTCACACTAATTCTGAATTGGATACTATTATGTCCATTTTATAGATAAGCAAACAGAATTTGCATGGGATTAAGTAAATTGTTTGAGGCTGAAGGAGATGAGACTACTTCACCCCAAAACATGCCACTTTGGTATAAATATTAGTTTAAAGTAAAGACATTTGGTGATCAACGGACAACAAGGGAAATAAGGCTTCTCAGACTTTCCCTTATTTGACTAAAAGCAGTAATGAAGTTGCCATAAATTCCTCTTCAGGGTAGATACTCCTAGAAGGGAGAATGTGAATAAAATATACCTCAAATCCTTTATCTAGGTGGATTTTATTACCCTGTGGAGAGGGAAAGACCACTCATATGGAAGATAGAGAAATACTATCACAAACCTTATCTCCCATTTGTTCTGAAAACCCATCTATCTTTCAAACAAGTGCTTTTTCCAGGCCTTTCTCCTCCCCACTTTACCTATTAAGATACATATATATAAAAAAGCAATTCTAACCACTTCTGAGATACTGTTTGTCTCTGAGGTCCTCGTCCTTCTAATCTGTCTTTTGCCAGTTTAATATACAGGATTCCAGGACTTAATTTAAGAGGGTAGAGACAAGTTTTTTTCTTACCTACAAGGTCATGTAATTATTAAAAGGGGAACAGGGATTCAAAACTAGCTTATTTCTAGAATCTCTGCTCCCCATTACTAGGTTACTCTGTAATTATGTTTAACTGAAAAACACTCAGTCTCTGTTTGAACTTAACTATTTTATCATGTACTATATTTTAAATGAGGTATCTACAAAGCCAGTCACAAGCAGTTTTCTCCAGATTTAATACACATTTCTAGTACTATTGAGTCTTCTTTTGAATCAGATTGTTCTCAGATCTTGTCCACAGCTTTGGCATATCATAGAAATTCATTGTTTAAGTACACTTTCAGTTTATTTTCTAACTTACATATTTTCTCCATCTTAGCCACTGTTCAATTCCACATGTTTAGACTATTACTATTCAGAGGCAGAGTTTAGTATGGTTGTCTTCACTTTAGAGGCAGAATAGTATAATAGTTTTATATATGGGCCAGACAGTCCTCAGTGAGAATTCTGGCTCTGCCACTTGTATGCTAAGTACTCATTAAATGTCAGTTAGTCTTCTAGTATTTTAATCAGAGAGAATGGGATGTCTTCTGACTCTCCCATGCTTTTTCCTTTTCTTGCAGTAGAAGCAAAAAAGGAATTAGTCACCTCAGGTGTCGTTAAATAACAACCATCACAATTTTAATCATCACTACCACTGCAAAATAGCTGCCATTTGGATTTTACTATTTTAACTGCTTTTTACGCATTCAGATCTTATTATTACCTTTAATTTTTAGATATTTAAAAAAAAAAGATTTATTTATTTATTTATACAAACACTGGGTACAGTCAGAAGTGCGGGAGGGTGAGAGAATTCACCAGAGCCAGAGCGGGGAGCAGAACAGGCAGAAGGACCGAAGTACACTGCTGAGGGGAGCAGTGGGCGGCAGGAGAGGTCTGCGCGCTATGTGGGACCCTCCTCCGGTGGCCGGGGAGCAGCCGGGGATCCAACGGCAACCCAGCGCTCAACCGCTGCGCCACCAGGGAGGCCCTACCTTTAATTTTTAGACAAGAAAAGTAAGACCACAGAGATTAACTTTTCCAAAATCATGTAAATAAGTGGCAGAGATGTTTGTTGAACACACATAAGTCTGGCTTCAGAATTCACACTTTATTATTTTTCTACATTGCTTTATTATACTGTACTGTCGCCAATAGAAAATTCCACTGTTATATATTTAAATGAGAAGGAATAATTTCCCACTGTACACAAAGCAATAGTTTCTAGGCTTTAGGATTTCACAGGCTACTGAAATTTAAAAGAAGATGGCAAAGAACCACCTTTAAATTTTGACAAGAAAGGATCTTAAAAAGCATATACCAGCACCATCATTTACTATAAGCACAAAATAAGGGACAATTTAATACACCCAAAATAGGATGTACATAAAAAGAGATCATGCCAGTGCTATCATATATTTATATATTGTCCTTAAATTTTCCACTTTGTTGAGGACAAGGATTTCAGAATAACATCCTCCTTATACCCTCTTCCAAGTAGGGTGGCTAATGACTAGATACAATCTGCATTTAAATATAACAGCTCTTTTAGTAACTTTTACAACTTTTTAGAAAGAACTGTACCTTTGGGTCTGGCAGCTAACAGGTCACTAGTTAAAAATTGTAGCATTTTGAATAAAAGGTGGAGTAACAGATCTATGGGTATTTTGTTTCACTAAAGTGGCCAAAGTATTTAAGAGTCTGAGAGGCCTTAGGATTAAAGAAAAATATTTATTTTTATTTATGCATACAAGAACTGGGGTGTAGGCCAAGGGTGGGGGGCGGGCGGTGGGTGAGAGTACTCGCCAGACAGAGTGGACAACAGAACAGGTAGATTTACTGAAATATACTGCTGAGGGAAGCAGCAGGCAAGACAGAGGGGTCTGCTGGCCATGTGGGTCAGCTCCCTGGCCAGATCTAACTCATGATGCAGCAGCTGTTGATAGCTTCATTGTTTGAGACTTTAACCCCTGCCCAGGCTTAAGATATTCTTACTCTTGAACATTTGAAAGATGAAATAAACAGTTTGGTATAGGCATTTCTTTCATTCCAATTGCAATGAAATAAGTAAATAATTAAAATATTGAAAATGAGAAAAAATTTCAGTTAAAAGTTTGCCATAGTTATGGCATATTAATGGGTTTTGTCTCAATTTTTGATTTCCTTCAGAGTCCCAATGCTTTAATGTTTCCACGGGGTGCCACATGAACAGAAATCTGCATGATTGTGGGCCTTATGAATTTTTTATTCATAACATTGTGAAACGAGAAGGCTTAGTGCTTACCATCTGCATTTTGAACTGGACTACAAACCTGAATTATATATATATTGGAAACACTTAAAAAGATTTTCTTTTAGTTAAGTCTTCTAGGCCCTTGTTTCATGTTGATTTTAAATTTTGAATAATTGACAACCATAATAAATTATATTCAGCTTCAATTATAATTCCTAATTGATTCCACCCTATTAGAACGACCTCTGATAATAGTCTGTTATACAATGTTAGTAAACGACTCGGTTTGCTCTTAGTCAATCTATATGTTTTCGGTAATTACAAACAGGAGTCTTCGAAATATTTTAGGTGGATCCTGCAGGTGGATGCCTGGTCCCTAAACGCTATGCTCTCAAGCTAGGGATTAGCACCTTTCGGGAGCTGCAAGGAAGTTAGGACAAAGAACGTAACTGTGGAAATCAAACCAGTTATTCGTACTGGTGATACTAGCTCAGCGTCCAGGGCAAGATGATAATGTACGTGCAATTGTGTGCTCAAGGGAACCTAGAATGGGGACAGAAGAGGCCGTGGAAAAATCGGGGACACCCAGGGTGTGGACTTAGCTCTAATCCACGCGGAGTGGCTTACGGCTCTAAAACATCAACCACCTCACGTCAGGCGCGGCGAAACCCTCACTTCCCAAACCACAGCTACGTGCCCCGAGAGGACCCAGGCCCCGGCGGGGCCGCGGCGCCAAGTGATGACGTATCTGCAGCCCGGGCAGCGACAGGCTTCCGAGGGGGCGCGTCGCCGCTCGCGCGACTCGGAGCCCGGGCCTCAGTCCTCGCGAGAGCTGCGGCCGCCGGAGCGGGATGGCCGCGGAGCCGGGCGGAGCTACCCCGCGGCTCCGGGAGCCGGCTCCCCGGCCCGAGACATGGCCCGGGGTCCCGGCCCGCTAGGCCGGCCTCGCCCCGATCCGGTCGCCATGCCCAAGAGAGGGAAGCGACTCAAGTTCCGGGCCCACGACGCCTGCTCGGGACGAGGTGGGCGAGGGGGCGGGGGCGGCGGGGGCTGGACGGCTCCGAGGCGGGCGCTCTCCTGCCGGCGGGGAACGTGCGGCTGAGCCGGAGCCGGCGGTGGGGAGGAGGCCTGGCCGAGGGGCCTCTGAGCAGACAAGGCCTCCTCCCCCGAGGGTTGGGGCGGGGGAGCGGGCTTTTGCGTGCTCTGCAATGATTCCTGTCTGTTTCAGTGACCGTGGCGGATTATGCCAATTCGGATCCGGCCGTCGTGAGGTCTGGGCGAGTTAAGAAGGCCGTGGCCAATGCTGTCCAGCAGGAAGGTAAGCTTCCGAGCCGTCTTTTCAGCCCCAGGCCGCGGAGACAGAGCTAGGTGTTTCTTTTGCCGGAATTAGGCCACCGTGTTTTTCTTGCAAACCTTTGGGTACTTCCCATAACAGTGTTTGCTCTTCTCAGCTCTTGCTCATTTCATCGGGGGAGAGGCAGGCTTAGTTCAGAGGAGAAGAAGTTTCTGTAGGACATTCTTTTTCTGTTTTTTGCGTTAAAGAAAAATCTGCTTACTCTTGTTACCGCGGCTTGCTTCTTGTTTACTCACCTTTCCCCTGTAGTTGACATATATGCTTTTCTTACTGGGCATTTTGCTTCCTTGTCTGTAAGCTGGGTGTGATTGTGTTTCCTTTCCCCTTGCTTTTTGCATTCAAGCAAAAAAACTTGTGTTTTTATGACATCTTCTGTTTCCAGCTCATAAATGGGGCTAAATTGGATTTGGTTCCTTTCAAACATCACTTCTTAGAATTTAGGCGGATGAGACTAGCACTCACCTTTTGTTTTTGTCATCCAATCTTTATTGTGTAAGAAGAATGTACTATAGTGAAGAGAATGTATAAAGAATAATGCATTCCGTTTTTCTTAAGGTCCGAGGTTGGCCATTGTAGAGTCAGTTTCTGCAGTTTTGCCCATTGTTTTCCACTTGTTTTGTGTTTAAAATGCTGAAATTATTTTCTTTTTAGATTCTGTTTTCTTCAGCAGACTCAATGCTTTTCCTTTTTTCTCCACCTTTTACTTTCCCACATGGATGCTGATATTCTTACTATGTGTATTTCTGTATGGGACTCTGCCATCTCTTTCTCCCCTTATTTTCTTCTAGTAAAATCTCTTTGTGGCTTGGAAGCCTCCCAGGTTCCTGCGGTGGAAGCTCTTTCTGTAGCTGGTGAGTCGTGTGACATCATTGACAGCAGTGATGAGATGGATGCCCAGGAGGAGAGTATCCATGAGAGAACCATCTCCAGAAAAAAGAAGAGCAAGAGACACAAAGGTACAGAGTTTGCTATCCTTTGGATTATTAGTCCTGTCTGTGGTGATAACTTGAAGCTTTTGCTCTCTCAGTAGCACACTGGCACTTAGTAATGGGACAGAGTTTAATACACCAGGGCTTATTACTTTTGTTTGAATTTGAGAGGAAAGGAGATTGGCAAGAGTCAGCAGATTTCAGAGCTGTGAACTTGACTATAAGAGCCATTCATTGAAAACATGTCATTTTTCTTAATGTTACAAAAAATGTTTGCCTGAATATGTGGATTATATATAACCAGGTTCATTTCAGCTAAAATTAGATATTATCATGGGCTTTTAAGTGCTTTGCAATTATTAATGTATGCTTTTTGTCTAATGGGTTCTGTGGGAAATAGAAAAGTATGTGATGTTTATAACTTAGTGGTGATAAAAGTTTCACAAATGAAAGAAAGAAAAGTAGACTAATAGTATATATGTTCCAAGCCATCATTTGGACTTAATGAATCAGACTTTTTTGAGGTAGCGCTCAGGTTAGCTATTCTTAAAGTAGTTTTCATGATCAGCTAGAGTTAGGGGAAAGTTAGGTAATAAATAAGCGTATTTTGGTTGCAGATCTACCAGAACTTTCACATCTACTTGAGAATTAGGTAACATATTTGTGTTTGTTAAAATATTAAAATCAATAAATTTATCAACTGATATTGCTCTGTAATGATACCAGCTACTGTCAGTAATACCACTCTTTTTCCAGAACCTCAAGGTTAATATTAACTTTCCTCATCCTTCATTTCTTTCTTGACTTTCCTACTTACCATCTCCATTCTATTAGCGATTTATCTTGGTTTATGTTTATTATTTTTTCCACAGAATGGTTACAGGCTTTTTAAACTATTAAGATAAAATGCACTCCTTTAAAGTGTACAGTTTAGTGGTTTCAGGGTTCTCCCAGAGTTAACAGAGATGTTTAGTCAGCAACATGATTTAAACTTAGAACATTGCTATCACCCCAAAGTGAAAGCTCATTTTTACTAGCATCATTCTTCATTTCCTTTCAAGTTTCAGTGTGTGCCCCTCTCCCAACCTGCTTTTGGTCTCTGTTTACCTGTTCTGAATATTTTGTGAACATTATGTGGACTTTTTTGTTTAACTTCTTTCATTAGTATAAGTGATACTTCACTTATATTCAGGGTTCATCCACATCACAGCATGTATCAGTACTTCCTTTCTATTGCTTTGTATTCGACAGTTATGAATAATACTGCTGTGAACACTCCTGGACAAATTTTTGTGTGGACATATTTTTCATTTCTGTTGGGTAGGAGTGAAATTGCTGAATCCATATGATAATTCTGTGTTTAACTCTGAGGAGTTGACATACTGCTTTCTGAGATTTCCAGTTTTTATTCTCACTATCAGTATGTGAGAGTTCCAGTTTTTCCACATCTTCACCAACACTTACTATTTGACTTTTGAAATTGTAGCTGTCCTAGTGGTAGTGAAGTGGTTGCTCATGGTTGTGATTTGATATTTCTCTGATAGCTAATGATGAGCATCTTTTCCTGTGCTTATTGGCCATTTGTATATCTTCTTTGAAGAAATGTCTATTCAGATCCTTCACTTATTCTGAAATTTGGTTGTTTATCTTTTTTTTACTGAGTTGTAAGAGTTCTTTATGTATTCAGGACAAGAGAAGAGAGAAGAGTATAACAAATCCTGTTAGCTACTACCCACCTTGAAAATTATCAACTTGTGGTTAATTTTATTTCAACTATTACTCTCCCATACCCACATTCCAACAACCCTGGATTATTTTGAGACCATTTCCAGATATTATATCATTATCTCTATAAGCATTTTGGTAGCTATTTCCAAAAGGTAAATACTCTTTAAAAGAAAAACCATTATGGCAACTAAAAAAAAGTTAATAGTTTTTAATAGCAAAGTTAAAAAATTTAATTTAACTAAATATCAAAAAATCTTATTAGAATTTGTCTCTCTTTTGACCTCACATGTACTTTGTTTTTCTAAGTACCTGCTTCACATTAGCATTTTATATCTCTTGGAGTACTTTGTTCTCGACCTGTGTCTATCACAATTTTTTATCTCTCTCAGAAGGACATTCTTTCCATGAAGGTTTCCTCTGCTGATTCCTACATTTAAAATTTCCTCAGTATGCTTAGAATGCTGAATTCTTCAGTAATAACTAAGCTTTGTCCCTAAAAATGGACCATTTTAAATAACACTCTACTTTGTGAAAGTACTTCTGGGTCTCAGTGGAGGAAGTACTTATAAGTCATTTGCTTTCTCTTTCCGAGAGAGAGAGAGTTAATGTGAGAAGAAGTAGGGCCTCAACATGGTAGGCTAACTTGAGTGTTAGTAGGGTTTACAAGGAGGGCTAGGACCAGGAAAGGATGTTGTTCTAGAGACATTGGACTCTGTTATGTACACCAGATACAGGAGCCTGATTTGGGTCGTAAAGCTGCAGGAAGCAGTTAGCTGGAAAAGCAGAGGCAACTTTAAGGAGGTGGGGTAGGGGCTTTTTTCCCAGGAAAAAGAAAGAAGAAAACTGGTTTTACGATAGTTCTGTGACTAGGTCTTAATTAAAAGTTAAATAAGTTTAGTGTTAGCCCATATTCAGGTATCTTTTTGTAGTGTGAGTTTTCACTTGGACCGGAGATGTATAATAGATCTTTGGGTCAAAAGAATGATCCCTAATGAGGTCTGGAGGAGGGGGAGGAGGTGGGGGGTGGGTTGTTAGAGTATTCCTGTGAATGCCTGTCATGGGGATCGTAAGTCACACTGGTAATGAAGTAAGGAGAAACTGAGAAGAAAAATATATTTCAGGCAGTTATTGAGTACTGAAAATGCATGTAACTTGCCTGTTTTTTAATTTGGTTTGCACTTTGAGGTTTTCTCATATTACCGTAACATCAGTTTTGTTTTTTAAAAGGCTGAACTAAAGAAGATGCTTGGTGGGTAGGGACATGTGAGTGAAATCAAGGGCAGAGTTTATAATGCAAAGCTAGAATTTGGATTCAGAAATCTGGGTAGTTTTTGCCTTGACTTAAGTGGCAAGGTTCTTTTTTTTTTTTTTTTTTAAGATTGATTTATTTATGCATACAAGAACTGGGGTACAGGCCAGAGGTGTGGGGGGTTGAGAGGATTCACCAGAGACCGAGTTGGGAGCAGAACAGGCGGATCTACTGTAATACACTGCTGAGGGGAGCAGTAGGTGAGCCAGGAGAGGTCTGCTGTGCCATGTGGGTCACCTCCCTGGCCAGGGATTGAACTTGTGCTGCAGTAGCTGTGGATTGCTTCATAGTGCTGACTTCTTAACCCCTTGCGCTACCAGAGAGGCCCCAGGTTCTGTTTTCTTTTTAGTAAAATGGGCAGTGTAATATTTTCCTTATTTCCACTGAGGAATTTTTAAAGTTGAATAACATAATGTATACAATTGTATACTTTAAAGACTTCAAAATAGTATGTAAATAACTGCCAAAGGCTTTAAGAACTAGACTTATGGGCCTCCCCGGTGGCACAGCGGTTGAGCGCTGGGTTGCGAAGCTGCCCGCGGCCTCTGCGGCGCCGGTTCGATTCCCGGCTGCTCCCCGGCCACCGGAGGAAGGTCCCACATGGCGCGCAGACCTCTCCTGCCGCCCGCTGCTCCCCTCAGCAGTGTACTTCAGTCTGCCTGTTCTGCTTCTTGCTCTGGCTCTGGTGAATTCTCTCACCCTCCCGCGCTTCTGACTGTACCCAGTGCTTGTATAAACAAACAAACAAATAAATAAATAAAAAACATGCCTCTATTAAAAAAATAATAAAAAAACTTATAAAAAAAAGAACTAGACTTATTTGGGCATCAGTTTTCAGTAGCTAGAATAAAGTGGGAAATGATGAGTTTGAAGGGGTTCCTTGGACTATTTAAAACCTTTTTCTTAATGGTGCAAGCTCTGGGAGAATTGGAATCATTGGGGTTCTTTATATGTGCATGTGGTAGAAGGTTAAAGGTTGTAGTTCTTTTCTCTGTTTCAGAAGACCTGGATGGGGCTGGAGGAGAAGAGTATCCCATGGATATTTGGCTGTTGCTGGCCTCCTATATCCGTCCTGAGGACATTGTGAATTTTTCTCTGATTTGTAAGAATGCCTGGACTGTCACTTGCACTGCTGCATTTTGGACCAGGTTGTACCGAAGGTGCGACCACAGAGAGCTCACTCTGTTATCTGTGTAGCTGATTTCATTGCTGTGTGTGATTTGAAGCTACTCCCTGGATGGTGACTTCTTTTCACTTTCTCTACTCCATGCCTGGGCATGAGCCTAGCTTTGGACTCCTTGAACCCCTGTCTAATTTAAAATTTATGTTATTAATTCATGCAGGTAATTGTCTTCCCTGTGACTGTCCCCCACCCCCTTCCCTATCCAGTATCCACTTTCAGCAAAAAGGCTTGCTGAATCAGGTCTCAAAAAGAACTGTCTTAGGCTTTCTTCAGAGGTTTATCTTAAATTTTCAAAAACTGTAGTTGCCTATCTACTTATCTTTCCAACTGATTAGTTGTTCTTAAATTTCTAGTCATTTTGAAGTATTATGGTTTTTGTACTTGCTCCAGGTGTAGTGGTGAGAAGAGAGTGAATTATGTGGTTAGTGAGAGGGCTAACTTTTGATACTGGGGTCAGAAGTTAGTGGAGATTACACACTGTTGTGAGGAACACAACAGTGTGTTGCTGTTGAGGAACTTGGGAGGGGACCTGCTGAGACAGGTGCCTGGAGAACCTGGTGGCTCCTTCCTGGTCCAGGTTCTTTTTGAGCAACTGCAGTGTTTTGTATTGATGTCAAGTCAGAGACTTGCCCTTTTTTTACAGTGACATAGTGAGGGTTTGAAATGTAGAAATGGACATAGAAGTGAGGGATTACAAGATACATATGAACTGGGTTTTGCATTGCATAGAAGCAAAAGTAGGTGAGAGGTGAAGGAGGTGGTGATTTGTGTATGAGAGACAGCAGTGGGGACAAGCTAGCTGCTGGCCCCAGGAGCACAGTAGAATTCATACAGAGAATCGGGATCCTTCGAGAATGACCTGGAGCAGGAGAGGCTGGTCACATGTTGGTAGGAGTAATGTGTCGTGTTTCAGGCACTACACGCTGGATGCCTCCCTGCCTTTGCGTCTGCGACCAGAGTCAATGGAGAAGCTGCGCTGTCTCCGGGCCTGTGTGATCCGATCTCTGTACCATATGTATGAGCCCTTTGCTGCTCGAATCTCCAAGAATCCAGCCATTCCAGAAAGTACTCCCAGCACATTGAAGAATTCCAAAGTAAGTAAGAATTAGTGCTGGGGTTTAACTAATGGGCTCTTGTGTGATGGGCCTATTGTCGTGGCTTCTCGCCAGCTTCTTTGATGGGGAGGGGAGGGCTGTTGGTACCAGGCTGCTAGGGGTCTACTGTAAACTTTCAGGGCACAAGCGTTTCACTTCTCTGAGATATTCCTGCTGTGCTGGGCTGGCTTATGTTACCTTTATCTTAAAGCTTTCTTGTGCTTTTAGCATATTCCTTATTCTTTTTAATTTATTTTCATGCATTGTACATTGTACCACCTTAGATTGTTTTGATGGCTTGGGTTAGGAAAAGCACAACTCATGATGGATATAAACTAATTCTTAAAAGGTGCTTTAAATTGTGATAAAAAGATTTAGCACAAACAACTCACTAATTTTTTCTTTCTAATAGACCTTCAATTTGGAATTCCCCTTTCTTGTTGACCTGCTTAAAAGTTTCTGATGTAGACTTTACTCCTTTAGCACTTGCTAAGGGCCCGCGATTGCCAGGCCAGTGGAGTAGGTCATCTCAGAGACTAGAAGGTACTCGCACTCATAGACCTTAGTGCTCAAAAATTTTTCTTGTGTTCTAGATTTCTTGATCTCAGGATTCCCCTAGTTGTTTATATTCATACACTGTATTCAAGTTTTTCACATTCCTCTGATTTGTAAATAGGTCTGTTAGCCTTGGGTTGAATTATCTCCTTTTCTCCTCCATAATGAAATACTGGGTAAATGACCCTCTAGACTGTTAATGGCAGATGTGATTATTTAGGCAAGCTGATAGCTCAGCCTTTTTCTCATTCAGCTACTACCATTGTCTAAATTTGATATCTTTAGAGCTTGTGGGTAGTTTTTTTTATTCTGTTCCTGTCCAAACTCTGGTGTTCAGTAGCACTTCCTGTTACATTTTGTTTTATGCTTTGGATGTTATATAATAATTCTTACTTATTTTACCTCTAGTGGGATAATCTACCTGATGTGTATTGACTTAAAAGCGTACAGTTGTTTTCAGTTTATCAGGTTCCTCCCAAGGTTGCAAACTGAGGTGGTCAGGGCCTTTGGCAGAGTTCAGTTTAAGATGGATTTGGGGGCAGGAGTAGAATGCTGGGCGAGTGGAATTTCACCCAGCAGCTGCTTCTGCTTGTAATATGAGTGGACAGTATATTATTTCACATTTACAATTTCCCTTCCTTAGAAACATTTGATAGTATCAGACTAACTGGTGAGTGGGATCATCCCAAAGCTAACCATGCCAGGTGCGAATCAGTTGCTGGGAGCAGAGCAGCATCGGGCAAACTCCTCATGCTTGACACATCCTAGCGGCTCCAGTGCACAATGCAAGTGCTACTGCCTAAATCTAATATATCATGTCTTCATATTCTTATCAGTTTATTAACAAAAAGTGGACTATAAAAAGCCAAGGCGGTGATAACTAAAGTCTTAACCCAGATAGTAACCCCAGGCCACCTGGCTGCTTCTTTGGTGCCTTGTTAGAGCTCTTCTGGAGAAGATGTGGGACCTGCGGTGGCAGGTTTCCCATGCATGGCCTTGCCATTTGTATAATCACAATCGCATGGCATTCAGGGAGTTGCCAGCATGCCTAAAAGAAGTTGTCCCATGTTCCTGGACTCCAGCTTTTCGTATTTGATTCTCCCTCTCTCTCTTTTCAGTAGCATAGCTTGTGTGGGACACTGGAGCCGTTGTGATGGCAGCAGAAGTGTTTGCCCCTTAAAGCCAAGCCCATTATTGTTGATGGAACAGCAGGACGTACAGGGCATGTCTGAAGGGCAGCTGGCACGGCGGACGACCCACCCCTTATCCCCTGGGAGGTACTTAACTTCTTGTGCTTAACCCTAGCTGTAGCCTGACTTTCACTGAGGGACTTACTCTAGACTGAATTCAGCCCAACTCTGTGCTTTTCACACTGGCTGTCTGCTCCCAGTATGTCCTGAGTGGCTTGCTCCTGTCACAGGGCGGGCTGTCTCTGCCTGCCTTATGGCTTTGTTATCATCTTGCCTGGTGGCTATTGGCTGCCCTTATATTTTAACATAGAGGATCGGCCTGCTGAATCAGAATGCCCCAGTCTCTAGAGACCGAGTTTCTGTCTTTAAAGATAAGAACAATAGGGGTCGACCTCAGTCTGAGGTTGACTTACGTTGGTCCCTCTTTTATTGGGTAGCCCTGGGATTGTCTCTTTTCACCACTGTCAAATTGGGGGGTTTCTATCTGTGCCAAAGTAAGATCTCAACATTGGGACTGTGGCTGACTTTAGAGCTGTCAAACAGAAAGGTTTTTGCTGATTATTTTTTGTTTCCTTATTTTGATTACTTTTTTCTCTTTTATTTGTTATTATTTTTTGGTTTGTTTTATTTTTATTTTCTTACAGTGCTTACTTTTCTGGTGCAGAAAGATTGTTGGGAACAGACAGGAACCAATGTGGGAATTCAACTTCAAGTTCAAAAAACAGGTTTGTAGTTGTATCTTCTCTTTGTTTTTCAAATACCATTAATACATTTTACCAGGCATAACATTATCATACTAAAATCAAATAATCCACATCAAAACTTAAAATAATGCCATGAAAAGAAAAGAAAGGAGGACTTATTCTATATGAGAGAGACAAAAGATGTAATAGCTTAGTGTACAGTAAACCTTGAGTGTGTTCTGGTTCAGGGAACAAAAAAGGATATTTGTGAAACAAAGAAATTTGAACTTAGTAATTTTCTTATATGTAATAATGATACTGTGTTTGTATATAAATGTCTTTAGCTAAACTGCATGAGGGTAGGATGTCACTGTTTATTTCAAATGCTTTTGTATTCCCAACCCCAACAGAATGTATGTTTTTATAGATGTATCTAAAATGAGAGGTAGGGGAAAGCAAACGTCGTAAGGTATTCAGTGGTGGAAAGTGTACAGGAGATTATTGCATGACCTTTATTAACTTTTCTACATATTTGAAGACTTTAAAGTGGGGAAAAGAAAAACTTACGAATGTGTTGAAGTTATTTGCCTAAATTGTTTTTTGGTGTTCAATTATTGTCTGTAAACAATAATTTTAATATGGGTAACTGAGGTAATTGGGGGAAAAATAGCCAAACCCCTATCTCTGCCTGGACTGTGTCTGAGATCTTGGCCACAGTAAGGATCTGTTTTGCATGTTTCTACTTACATTCAGCAGGCTCATTTCTTGCACTGGTCTCCTCTCCTTAGTAGATCACTGGTGAGATACATTACACATATGATTAGTTACTCCTCACTTGGCTGCTGGTGAGTAACAGATAAGTTTGTAATTAAAGTAAGTCATATTTTTTCAAAAAACATGGTTCCAGGGAAGAATTTTGCCTCTGACCATTTGCTTTAATAAGATGTTCAGAATCTAAATGTCCATTAGATGTTGGTAGAAAGGCCACCATAGGATCTTTCTGGGAGGGCCTGAGCAGCAGTGTTAGCCGTGTATAAGCTGCAAGAAAGTGAATGCTGGTATTTCCTCTAGTTCTGGGACTTGCGTCCCTCATGGTGCCTGGAATGAGGCGGTTGCTTCTGCGCCCCTTCCTTTGTGCAGCAGGTGTTCTTTGGAGTCTGACAAGTCACAAGGAATTTGCGATCTTTCAAACATTGGAGAGCCTCTCAGAGAGCCTATAATTTCCATTTCTTGCCAGATGGCAGGAAATACCGTCTAAATGAAGCATGTACCCACTGTCACATTGCTCATCCAAATGTGTTTCCCTCCTTTCAGAGGGCAGCTCTTCTGATCTATAGAGAAACTGATACATGTATAGAGAGGAGGCCACACGGAACAGTGGAGCCGTTTGGTTTCCCTTGGTGAAATCTTAGTGCCATTAACAATTCCTTTGAGCTATCAGATTAATTCTCAATTCTCTTCAGTCCCCTAGATTAAAGAGCAAATGTGTGGGAGGGTTGCAGCCTCCTATTCAGTATGAAGATGTTCATACCAACCCAGACCAGGACTGCTGCCTTCTGCAGGTCACTACCCTCAATTTCATCTTTATTCCAATTGTCATGGGAATGATATTTACCCTGGTAAGTGGGGACTCAAAATATCATCCTCAGCTCTTTCACAGACTTAGGTTTGAAAGAAATTTGAAAATTTAACCATCAAGGAAGAAGTCTTTGAAGAAGAATGTCAAAAGACTGTAAGCATACTTGTATATTAGGAAACAGAAATTTGTTAATTATGTGTAAGGATAAGTTAATTATGTGTAAGAAGTTAATTATGTGTAAGGATATTTTACTTCTGTTTCCTTCTCTGTAGTAAAGGGGATGGTTTTGCATCTCCTGCGTAGCGGTCATTAGTGTTTGAGAAACATATAATGATGAAGGGCCAGTGATGAAAGCCACACAAGCATGGCATGTCAGGACCTTGAAATGTGCATATGTGTGTGATATAAATGGAGTGTTAAAATGTTAAACCAGCGCTGTCCTTTGTGTGATGGTCTGACTAAGGCTTAGCAAGGACTTAGATTAAAATAACATATATGCCTCTGGAATACTTTCCAGTTTTTTAAAATTTCTTAACTGGAGAGTTCGTGTAATTTATCTTTTCTGTATCTTAGACTTAAGCTCAGAGATATGTGGGGTTCCTCTTAACACACTGAAAATAACTTGATTTTTAAAAAGTGAATAAATAATGCGTACCATGTGTAAAGAATTTAAGTAATACAAACATACACTGAGAAAGTAAAGGCGATTTAGACTTCCATTATCCTATAACTGTAGTTAACCTTATGGGAAAATGCTGTAACATATCTGTTTATATGTATGTGTATACATCCACTTTCTCAAATGACTTTGCATGATTGAGATTATGTTATATATGCTACTTTAATTGTAGACACTTTCCCTCTCTAGGTTAAGCTATATTAATTACCTGGTTATCTACTCATACCATTCTAGACAGACCTACACAAAGATATTTAGAGACTTTGTGTTTTATTTTACCAAAAAATGTCATCAGATATATGTTTCGTGTCTCTTGCTTGACTTGCTCAACAATATTTCATCTGAATCTGTTCAGGTCATCATCTCCTATACTTCTAACCAAATCTTTAACAACTAGCTTTGATGGTAATATATGTGTGGATGCCATTTGTGAGATTTTCTTTAGCATAGTTTAAATATATAAAGCTAAGAGCTTATGAGAACCACTCTTTATTTTTATCTTTGCAAAGGTGCTGGTATTATAATTTAGAGATTACCTGTGGCCTAACCAGTGTAATTTACATGTAGACGGTCTCATTTTAGAGGGAGCTGTAGGAAAACAAGGTTGTTTAATTTGGTTCTGCATTTGCTTTTTCTTCCCAGTTTACTATCAATGTAAGCACAGACATGCGGCATCATCGAGTGAGACTGGTGTTCCAAGATTCTCCTGTCCATGGTGGTCGGAAACTGCGCAGTGAACAGGGTGTGCAAGTCATCCTGGACCCAGTGCACAGCGTCCGGCTCTTTGACTGGTGGCATCCTCAGTACCCATTCTCCTTGAGAGCGTAGTTCCTGCTTCCTGTCCCTGAGTGCAGCCCTGAGCTAGGCCAGTCCATTAGTATCAGATTCCAGTTTGGAAGGGGTGCCTGGCTTGTATATCTGGTTAGAATTGCACATGCTCTTCAGGTTCCTGGGCTCCTGTTAGGGGAAGGAGAAGGGTTGAATCAAGAGGAAAAACAACTGATTTATAAACATTTTAATGTGAAAATTTGTATTTGAAAGGAGAATCTTGGCCCTATTTTCTGCTTTAAATGCATTTGGTGCTATTGAGTTTGTTCTTCGTTCTTTCATCCTAGCAAAAAGAAGTGGTCTTGCTCTAGGGAAAAATTAACTCTTGAATCTCAAACAAGGAAGTTACAGCATAATCTTATGGATCAGAGGAATCTTAGAGGTCTAAAATTGTTGCTACTATTGCTTCCAATTTAGCTGCCCCTCAAATTCAAGTGAATATTTTCTCTTCTCCCTTTCTCTTCTCCAGAAATAAAGCAGGTGACAGGGTTTTCAGAATCTTAAAAGACTGACTTGTGTATCTTTCTTTAAAAATAATCTTTGGATATTTATTGCGTAAATATTCTTTTGCCAATTTTGGATTTTAGATATTTTTTTGCATGAGATGTAGTAGTGATGATAATGATTTTGTGACCTTGGTACTTTACTAAGAACTTTACATAAAATCTCTAATTCTCTCATCGCTTCTCGGCCTTTTGGCTAAGATCAAGTGTAAAACCTCTAATTCTCACTGTTCTGCAAGGTAGGTGATAACTATTCCCATTTTTTTGGTTGAGAAAACTCAATTAGTGATCTAGCCAAGCCCAGAATGGCCAGTAAATGGCCAGAATTCCAACCCAGGTCTTTATGCTATAACATAATTAAAAATGTCAGTCTCACTTTTCTTGTGGTAGAAAAAAGTGAGCATGCAGAAAATACAGAGGTAAACCCGTAAAAGTGTGAGTAAAGATTTGATTATGATGTACGTTATCCCTAGTCAGCCTAAAAGGTATGTAAGATGAAAGAATCTTTTCAGTATAAGTATATTGTAAAACGAGGCAAGAAAGTTATTGTAGGAAGGATAGTGTATTTTCATTGAGCTGTTAGAAAGGCATTTATTTTACTGAAAGTTATTTAAATAAAAATGCATCCCATGTTAAAACCAACCTTCTGAACCATCAATACTTCATGACTACTCTGCCCTGCGCTGCCTGTTACCCTGTGTGCGTACGGGAGCCTGCACAATCGTCCCTGTAGGAGTACAGATGTCCTCCTGCTAGTCACACAACTTGCCGTAGCTGATATACTCTAAGACAGGGACCATGGTGGCTTTTGTTGTTTTTCTGCTCATGTTTTTTGCTTCTCCTCTCTCTTCTGCCACCAACTCCTTCCCCAAACTAACCAGTGAGCTAGATACTATCTGGATGTTGCCATGAGGTGGGATCAAGACAATAGTCTTTAAACATAAGTATCTTATGGGGGCAGTTGTATGAGCTAAACTGCTAAATTAGTGTATTGTTTTGTTCCTCACCATCCTTACCCTTGCTATTTAAAGAATAGTCTTGGGAAGCATCTGCTTAATACTGCAGTTAACAGCTAACCTTACCCACACTGAGGGTGGTACTAAAGCTGTTCACACAGAAAATAAGCCTGGGTCATGAAAAACAGAATTTGGGCTTTTAAAATGGTAAAAATAAAAAACCCCAAGGACAGTAAGCACCTTGCAGATCTCTGTAATCCAGAGTTCTTTCTTTGAGGCAGGAGGAGAAACTCAGAATCTCTAGTCCCTGAACTAACGATGCCAGGAAGCAGGAAGGCGTAGTCCTGCTGGATTTGTGTCCCCAACTTAGGAATTTAAAAGGAGAGTGAAATAAATTTGGCTTCATGTGTTCTGACTCAATTTCTGAGTTTTTGTGTCAAACTCCATGAATGATGATAGATACATTACATAATATCTTCTGTCCTTAGCATAATGTTGAAAAACATTTGGTAAAGTGTATAATCAAAAGTTATTGTAGTATTGGCCTTCCCTCTGCATTGGGTGTCTTTTCTAGGGTGATTCATGTTTTATTAGTAAAGTATGTAAAAGGACTCAAATTTTCTTTTGATAAGAACCCCAAACTACATCTAGAAGGGTTGGAACTTTCTCAACAGGTTAAAAATGGCTTTGCAGTTTTCACTTCCTTATTATATACTTAGACTTTGCTCTGAGGGGCAAACGAAATAAGAAATTTAGCTTCAATTCTTACCCCCAAGTAAGTCAGAATCAAATACTTGGATTCTCCTGCGTTCTACCAAAGATACAAGGAAACTAAGCCAAATGATGACTATATTGGGACAAAGGGGAAAAAAATTAGTGATATGTGCCACTAATCTCAACTACATTATTTGTTGATGATATAGATGATGTGTATGTCTATAAATATGTACAAGTTGCATGTATATAAAAATTCTTCACACTTCTAGCAGTGCTTACTGGATATTGTAAAGGCTTTGAGTAGGCACTGTGATGAAGCTTCACAAACCAGATGGGAAAGATACATTAATAGCCACAGGGACAGGGTAAGGAGCAATTCAGGAAAGTGGAGAGATTCAACTAAAATTTGTCAGGAGTTTTGGCTTTGAGACTGTCTACATACTATGTATATATAATCGACATTTTATAGTAACAGTGTGAGCACAGCCAGGAGCCTGAAGGCGAGCGGCATGATTCATTAAAGTGCATCCTACAGAAAAGAGTCTAGATTTCAAGTTTCTCCACCTAAAAAGTGGGTGCAACCAAAGGGAAAGGAATGGGTGTGAGAGAAGATGTGGAGAGTGACAAGCCATTGGCAGCAATTAGGAGGCCAGCACAGGCCAATTTAGGGAACAAGTGGTTACACTGGGGACAAGGGTGAATACAAGGCAGGGAGAGAACGAACGCGGTGCCCCACTGGGAAGGCGCCATGGCACCACTGGGCCCTGAGACTTATCCCTGTTGGGTAAACCTGGCCTCACCCACCGCGTAGGGCCGCACCAAGATGGCGCGGAGACCAAAGCCGCTCTTTCGTCAACCGGGGCGGGGGCGTGGCCCCGGGAGAGTCAGCCAGGCCCCGCCCCCAGGGGTGGGTCAGGGCCTATCAGCGGAGGGACGGGGCGGGGCCTGGGGGCCCAGCGCTTCGGCGCTGGCGGAGGCTGCAGCTACCTCGGCGCCGGCTGGGATCGCTAGGTCGCGTCGAGCTCCCCCAGTCGGGGGAGACTCCCTGCTGCCTCCGAACCGAGCTGCCCGGCCTACCGCGACAGCAGGCAGGTGAGCGTCCAGAGCTGGGGTCGCGGGGTAGGGTGCCTCCGGCACCCCCTCACAGTTTTGGGTTGAGGGGGTCACTGTCTAGGGCGTCCTGGAAAACAGCCCCCTTATACTCGGGATGTGTGGTTTCCGGCAGTTATCGATCCTGCTCCCTTTGCCGCCCCTCACTGGCCTTTGCAGTGTCTGTGCCCTTGGGGGTGGAGATGGGGGGGCTGTGCCCGATTTGTGGGGAGGGCGTGGAGTTCGCCCTCACCTCCCATCAGTCTCGGAGGAGGGGGGCTGAGTTGGCAAGTCTCCGGGTGGGGACTGGATGGACTGCGCCCCCATCTCCCCTCCAGGAGAGTCAGAGAAGAAGCGCCTCTTAGCTCCTGGGCCAGGTCCCCTCTCCTTTGGGCACGAGGGGGACGGAGGTCTTCGAGCTTCCGGGGTCCTATGTTGCCCTTCTAACCATCGCTAGCTCTCCGTTCCTAGAACTGCCAGTCTCAGGCTGTGCCAGAAACACCCCGTCTCCGCAGTGCCAGGGAAGTGGGGTGGAGGAGTGGCCAGCCCGGGATCTGGAGGGGGTGAGGGGAGGGTGGTCGCAACTGAAAAAAGGTGGAATAGAGATTTCAGAGCAGAGCAGGGAGTGGAGACATGACTTTCGACCAACACATACTGCAGGTTTTGGTGGTGGGTGGGAGAGAGGTCGGGTTGAGGACTTGGAAACATGGTGTGGGTGGTTTTCTTGGAGAAGGAGGAGGGATGAGGACAACATGCCACTAGGTGTGATGTCACCTTCGAGGAGAGGTGTGCTGGTGGTGTCCATCAGAGGGGCAGGACAGTCAAGGCCGCTGTTCTACCTGGCACGGGCTGGTTAAGGAGATTCTGCTTAGCATGATCCCCTCCTGGGGGTGTTTGAAGGGCCAGGTTTTAGGGAGTTGCCTCAGTCTTTCCATAGGTGTTGGAACTGCTACCTCGTACTTTGTTCAATATCCAGCAAACACTTATTGGACACCTACTATGCCAAACACTCTGCTAGATGCTGAAGGCAATTTAGGGTCATGGGGCAGCTGAAAGATGCAGGCAGTAGGCACTCTGTCATACCCCCAGCCCCAGCCCCAGCCCCAACACACAGTTCTGTCACATGGATGTTGGAGTAGCAAAGGAACCACGTCCACATGTTTTCAAAGAACTGTCTGAACTGGATTCCAACCCACTCACACCTTGCCAGTGTTAACTAGCCAGGTACTCCCAAGGGAAGCTGCCTTAGAAAAAGGACCAATTTGAATGATATCCCCTGGTTATTTTTTAGGACTTTGTTCTGAGGCCTGTGGAGGCTGCCTGGGATAAAGAGTATCTCAAAATAATGAGATGAAGAATAGCACAATGGTTTTCTGGGGGCCAAGAATTCAGTAGATGCCGGCGGAGCGGGAGACGCCATCTCTGGAAGACAGAAGAGTGTGGGGGAAGGGGGTGTGGAAGGGAGCTCTCACCCAGTGCTATCTGGGCGTGTGAGCATTTCATGATGTCAGAACCCTGGAGTGTGTGAGCAGCTGGGTGGTAAGGAGGGCCCAGAGGGGCAGAGCAGGCAGCCAGGCTCCTGGGTCTCTGAGTCGATTTCTGAAATCATGAGTTGAAGAGTTGTCAGGGATTGCTTGTGGGTCTTTCAGAGCCTCGGAGGATAGCTGGGTGAGAGCAAGGGGGGGACGGAGGAGTCAGGCTCTGCTGGAATAAGGCAGGGGTGATGCCCAGCAGGGCAGGGTTGCTGGGTGTCAAGGGGGCTTTTAATACAGGGATACACGCCACTGGGGCTTTAGGTCCCAATATGTTGGTTGGTGTATGGGTTGCTATAGAAATCAGGTGTGGTTTCCCAGTGGCATGAATGGGTGTGTGTGCGTGCGCACGCTAGAGGGGAGTTGGAGTGTGGACAAGAGCAGGCTGAGGGAGTGAAAGCCACCTCAAGAGTCTAGGTCCCAGGCAGAAAACTGGGTCAAACGGAGAGGGGGCAGTGGGGGCGGAGGGAGGGTGAGTGTATATTGCAGCCACATGCAGTCACCATCAGCCCCCTTTGTGCCTGCTTGCTCACTGACCTATAATTAGCTCTGGAGGGCATGAGGTGCAGGCTCACCAGAGCGATGCACTCTGGGTGGTCAGTAGACTAACAGGTTTGGACTGCTAGGGTGCTCAGTGCATGGAGAGGGGCTGCTTCTCAGGACCCTCACCTCGCTGTGCTGGGAGGGGCCTGAGGGAACTGGGAGAGTCGTGGGGGCTGGGCTACTCAGGCAGAACCTGGGGACTCCCTTCGTCTTGGCCGCTGACTCACCCATCACACAGGAAGCCGGATCGCTGCCCTGTTCCTTGCTCAGCATTCAGAGTCGTGGCTGCTGCACTCCAGTCTCCCTCAGGTGTCTTCTGCCTCCTGGGTGAAGGCAGTTGTAGCACAGAACTGTTTCCTGTTTGCCAGTCAAGGACTGAGAGGCCTAGGGGGGGCTGCTTCATTCTGAGAGAGCTGGAGCAGAAACTGCCACTAGTTAATTCAATTGGTCCAACTCCAAGTGGCGCTCCGCCTTGATTCCCCGCCGGGGCCAGGCCTGGAATGCTCCATCGTGTGCTACTCTGTGTTGCTTTCAAACCGTTCCTTGTGCATCTTTGTTTTCTCAGGTGGGCTGGGAACTTCTTGAGGGTTGAGACATATCTTACATGTCTTTTGTGTCTATAACAATTACTAGCTCAGTATTGGATTCGTGAAAATCTACTCAACGAGTGACTGTCGGATTGAATTGAAGAGATCAGTCTTCTGATCCCCTGGGTTCAATGAAGCAGGGCCTCCTTGCAACTAGAAATATCTAACCAGGAGCAGAGGAGCCCCTGGGGACCCTGTGCAGTGGTGGAACATCTCATTGGGGAGTTAGATTCCATAGGCTGTAAAGTGAACATTCCTAAATCTCCCATAAAACATGGCATATGGGTTTAGGCTTATAACTCTGAACAGTAATATTAATATTCAGATATAGTACACATTGTATATCAATTACATAAATATATAATGTGCTCAGTAATTTAAATGTGTATGATTGTACAATATAATTTTTTGTACAGTGTAACTTTGTACTTAAGTGTCGGATAAAATAACTGGGTTGCATTTAGAGGCCTTCCTGCTTAGCAGAATTGAACCCTCATGAATTCAGTGTATGTCCTCATTGTCTTCAGATAGATGACTTATTTCAAAGGGGAAAGAGGTTTTCATTCAATTTAAGATAAAGTTTCCTTAGAGAGGACTTCTCAGTAGGGGCCTTCCCTGGTAGCACAAAGGGTTGTATCTCAGCACTCTGAAGCTGTCCGCAGCCTCTGCAGCACAAGTTCGATCTCCGGTCGGCCAGGGAGCTACCCACATGGCACAGCAGACCTCTCCTGTCTTGCCCGCTGCTCCCCTCTGCAGTGTATTTCAGTGGATCCACCTGTTCTGCTCCCCACTCCTGGTGAATCCTCTCATCCCCCACATCACTGGCCTGTACCCCAGTTCTTGTATGCATAAGTAAATAAATCTTTAAAAAAATAAAAGGACTTCTCAGTCGTGAGCTCCTTGTTTCTAAAGGGTTCTCCAGCTAAGACTGAATCGTCAGGGATGTTGTGGAAGGAAGTCCACGCAGGGTGTGAGGTTGACCTCCACAATCTCAGAGACCACTTCCAGGTAGGAATCTGCAGTGCCAGGGAAGGGGTCTGGGTGGAGGTGGGCACTGGATGGTAGAGCTCCTTGGCAGCTCACCTGTTTGGCTTGGAGGAGAGATGCTGAGAGTAGGTCTGGGGAGAGAGATCAGGCCAGGGCTTGGCCTGGGGAGAGAGGCCAGACCGGGGCTTGGCCCAGGCTGGTCCATGGGAATGGAGGTCCTGGGAGGTTCAGGGAGTGGCTGGACCAGCTCCCATGCACATGGCGTTCTGGGTTTGGGACGACCCGTGGTGCAGGCAGTCTTGGTGGATGTCGGTGAGTAGAGAGGGTGGGCTGGGCCCAGTTCCTCCACCTCAGCTCCCACCAGACCAGTTATGGAGGACCCTAAATTTTTGACCCTTGTTTGGCGGCAGGCTAGAATTCTACCACTGAACCACCAATGCACCTTTGACCCTTGTTTGGGCAGAGCTTCTGAAATGAGTAGAATTTACCTTCTTCCATTACCATCCTCATCCTTCTCCCTCTTGCACATTCTCACACAGGTTCAAGACCACGCATTCTCTCAAATGCTTTCATGACCAGTGATATGTTTTCATGCTCACATTCATGCAGAAGCTCTTGTGGCCCCCGCACTCTTATACATGATTTCATGACTCCCAGGTGCATGTGCATGACCTCACACATTCGCCCTCCCGCTGTGCACACACTCACACGTGCATCCTCCTGACCAGGCCTGCACAGTCCCAAGCCTCATGATCACACAGCCTCACTGCTATTTACACACTCACACATGTACACCACACTCTCACCACGAACATAAACACACTTTTGGTGACACCACTTCCCTGGATCTTCTGCACTCTGGTGCCTGCCAGCTCACCCCTTCAGTCCCTTTGCCCCTGGGCCGTTGTGTTTTCTGCCGCATGATGTCTCTCTGATTGGCTGGGCTGGTCTCTATGTAGAGTCTTCTGAGCAATTTTTTCTATATCAAGAGGACCAAGAGGACTCATCTTTGTCCCACATGGACTTATAGTTTTGAGAATTTTTATTCTTCATGGACGTACCAATGACTTTGTTTTCTCCTTGTCAAACATTATCTGAGGACATATGTAAACACTAACGGCTCTGATTAGCAGGCTGCTGTCATTACTGCATTTAGTGATGTGATTTCAGCCAAAGCCATGGGCTGGGGTCACAGGAGCAGCCCGATCCCTTGGCTTGTGTAAACATATGACCCCTGCTAGTCATTCAGAGTGTGGAAGACAGGTGGTGGGCCCCAGTGTCATTGCGGGCTCCCCAGGTTTGTGGCTCCATTGCATTGAGGCGCTGCCTCCCATAGAGAACATGTGCTTATTTT